CGTGCATAAAGATGCCCACACATGATAAGGCCCCCACCACTGAGGCTTCCAAGCTGAAACACCAAATGTGATGGAGCAGAGATAAACCATTCTGTGTCCTGCCCAAATTATAAGCCAAAAGAATCTATGAACATAATAAAATGGTTGTTTTAAGCTGTTAAATTTTGGGATAATTTGTTATACAGCACTAGTAATTGGAAAAGTGATCAACGTGGTAAACAAGTTCTCTACCTTCATGGAGTTTATATGATAGCTGGGGCGGGCGCCCTAGAAAATGTCAGATAGTAATAAGAATTGTAAAATTCTGGATCAACTGGACATTCACATGCAAACAAATGAAATTAGACCCTTTCCTTACACCATATACAAAATGATTCCTGGAAGAAAAAGTGCCTATTTACACATTTTAGTGCTTCATTTAAAATTAGCTTGAGCTGGGGCACCTGGGTGGCTCAGTTGGTTAAGCATTTGACTCTTGATTTTGGCTCAGGTCATGACCTCACAGTTCATGAGATCGAGCCCCACGTTGGGCTCCAAGCTGACAGCGTGGAGGCTGCTTGGGATTCTCTCTCTCAAAATATATAAATAAACATTTTTAAAAAAAGGAATTTAAAATTAGCTTGAGCCAACACCTAATTTGAAAACTACAGTGTATTTGTATTATGAGGACTCAGCATTTTTATGTTAACAAGCATACGTAGAAACCTTGAATATGTGATAATTATTGATGTTAAGAACTAAAATTACAAAACTCTTAGAATACAACATAGAAGTAAATCTTCATGACCTTGGGTTGGGCAAAAAACACAAGCAATAAAAGATTAAAAAAAATAAGGGTGTTTGGCGGGCTCAGTCAGTAGAACATGGGACTTCTGATCTGGGGGGGGTCATGAGTTCAAGGCCCATGTTGGGCACAGAACTTTAAAGTAATATTTTTTAAAAGATACAATAAATTGGGCTTCATCAACAACAAAAACTTCTGTGCTTCAAAAAGTACCATCAAAAAAGTGCAAAACCTGCCCACAAAATGAGAGAAATTTTTTGCAAGTCATATATCTGATCAGGGTCTTGTATCCAGAATATATAAAATAATCTTCATAACTCAGAAGATTAGAAAACAACCCAGTGAAAACATGGGGAAAGGATCTTTCTCCTAAGAAGATGCACAAATGGCTAATAAGCACGTGAGAAGATGATCAACATTATTAGTTATTATGGAAATGCAAATCAAAACCATAATGCCACTTCACACACCCTAGGATGGCTAAAATAAAAAAGACAAATGACAGAAAGAGTTGGCAAGAATGTGGAGAAATTGGTACTCCCATACCTTGCTGGTGGGATTTTAAATTAGTGTAGCCACTTTAAAAAACAGCTTGTCAGTTCCTCAAAATGTTATACGTGACCCAGAAATAGGTATATATATCCAAAAAAATTGAATACACATGTCCACACAAAAATCTGTACACAAATGTTCATAGTAGCATTATTCATAATACTCAAAATGTGGAAACAACCCAAATGTCCATCAATTGACGATGATAGATAAAATGTACTATTTAAGTATGTTATGGGTTGGGGCGCCTGGGTGGCTCAGTCGGTTAAGAATCAGACTCTTGGGGCGCCTGGGTGGCTCGGTCGGTTAAGCGTCCAACTTCGGCTCAGGTCATGATCTCACGGTCCGTGGGTTTGAGCCCTGCATCGGGCTCTGTGCTGACAGCTCAGAGCCTGGAGCCTGTTTCAGATTCTGTGTCTCCCTCTCTCTGTGACCCTCCCCCGTTCATGCTCTCTCTCTGTCTCAAAAATAAATAAGCGTTAAAAAAAAAAAAAAAAAAAGAATCTGACTCTTGATTTCGACTTCGACTCAGGTCATGTGACCCTAGGGTCGTGGGATCAAGTCCCCACATCAGGCTCTGCACTGAGCATGGAGCCTGCTTGAGAGTGTCTCTGTCTCTCCGTCTCTCTCTCTCTCTCCCTCTGCCCCTCTTCATAGCTCTCAAGCTCATTCTCTCTAAAAATGAAAAAAAAATTTTTTTCAATATTATGGGTTGAATTGTGTCCCCCCCCTCACCCAAAAAAAGGTATGTTGAAGTCCTAACCACCAGTACCTCAGAATGTGACCTTCTTTGGAAAGAGGATCTTTACAGATGTAATTAGTTAAGATGAGGTCATACCGGAGAGGGTGGGCTCCCAATTCAGTATGACTGGTATCCTTATACAATGGCCATGTGAAGACATAAACACACAAGAAGTATGTCATGTGACAACAAAGGCAGACACTGGGGTTATGGAGCTATAAGCTAAAGAATGCCAAAGACTACCAGCAAACCGCCAGAATCTAGGAAGTAATGAAGGATTCTTTACAGGTTTCAGAGAGAGCATCTGCAGACACCTTAATTTTGGACTTTTAGCTTCTGCAAGATAAATTTCTGTTGTTTTAAGCCACCTAGTTCATAGCATTCTGTCATGTCAGCCTTAGGAAACTAACTTGGCATATAATGGAATATTATTCAGCCCTAAGAAGGACTTAAGTAGTGATACATGCAGGGACAAACCTTGAAAACATGGTGCTAAGTGAAGGAACCCAGACACACAAGAATACATATATTACAGGATTCCATTCATACGAAATTACCAGAATAAGTAAATCTATAGACCGAGAGTATATTAGTGGTTGCCTAATACTGGGAAGAAGAGGGTGGGGGGATGAGAAAGGAGTGGAGAGAAAGTGGTAAGTGACTGCTAATGGATACAGGGTTTCTTTTTAGGGTGATGAAAATGTTTTTTTTTTTAAATTTTTTTTTTCAACACTTATTTATTTTTGGGACAGAGAGAGACAGAGCATGAACAGGGGAGGGGCAGAGAGAGAGAGGGAGACACAGAATCGGAAACAGGCTCCAGGCTCTGAGCCATCAGCCCAGAGCCCGACGCGGGGCTCAAACTCATGGAGCGCGAGATCGTGACCTGGCTGAAGTCGGACGCTTAACCGACTGCGCCACCCAGGCGCCCCAAGGGTGATGAAAATGTTTTAAAATTAATTATAGTGATGGCTGTATAACTTTGTGAATATACTAAAACCTACCAAGTTGTACATTTTCAATGGGTGAATTACATGGTATGTGAATTATATCTCAATAAAGCATATCTCTTTATATCTCTTTCTTCTTTTGAAGAAAAGAACTAACAGATTGATACGACAGAAAGTTAGGAAAGGGTGGGGATACCTGAAATAGAGCATTATAAAGGGTTGTTGCAAAAAGTAACATGTGACATTTGAGCTACAACTTGAAGGATGAGGACAGCTGGGAGAAGAGCATTCCAGATAGAAGGAATGGTGCAAATGTCCAAAGGTGGAAATGAGCCCAGGATATTTGAGGAACAAGTGAGGTAGACAGTAGCATGGGATGAAGTTGTTTGAGAGACAGGGGCTAGACAGTATGCTGATTCTATAAAAATTACAGATCATCAAGATAACTACAATAAAACGGCAGGCAACTTTATTTCATCTCCAGCTCTCAATATGCACCTTTAAGCCCCAACAGGCTTATATCGTAATAGTTATTTCATAAACATCTGTAACCATAACAATTACTCTTATATATGTCCATTCTCAAAGTTACCTGAAACTCTTGGGTTTGGGCCTGACTAGCATTAGCAACAGAAATCTCAGAGAGTCAAAATCAATCCAAATCAATCCCTAGGCCAAGAGTTTCAGGTCCTGCAGGCATAAAAATCACAGTCAAAACCAGATTCTAGATCTGTCCAACAGCAGCCCACATAAAGCCAAACTGACCCATTCTATATATCAGGAATTTTCTAAGACTCATGGAATATTCCCTAACTCAAAGAAAGCTTCTATGACTCAAAGAATGGGGGAAAAAATCAGACCATCTTTAGGAATAAACTGAACTAAATGGGCATTTAATTCAATATACGTTCTCTCAGCCTGTTCACCAATTCCTCCCCTTGGGACAGAGACAACATTTTTAAGTTAAGAAATTTTTAAGTTAATTCAAAACCTTGCCTTTTCCCTTTTGGCCTCAAGTTGGACTACAAGTTTCAGCAAGCAAAGGAGATACAGCAAAATTCAAGGACAATGCCCTGTGCCATCCTGAACACTCCCTTTTTACTATCACTTAAATAGCTCTCCCCAGGCTTATATTGTTACACAGCCTGTATCAAACACCTGTTGACCTCATTGTGAAAGTACTTCAGTAACAGCCAGATGTGGGCCTAAGGAACACGTGTGAAAATAACAAAGATATAACAGGCATATAAATTTGAGACATAAACAGAATTGGCTAGCCCATTTAATAAATTTGAAATGACAAAGTGATGTTCATCAGAAGCCAAGACTACAAATAAATCCAGTAAATGTATCACCACACATTTGTATATAAGTAGGTAAGTCCACCTATCTCCTAAATCATAGGCAAAATTAGTAAAAAGTATAAAAAATAGTTCTCTTTCCCATTTTCCAGGGGAAGAAAAAATTACCTCAAGGCTAACTGTAAAGCTAAAAACAAAGCAAAACAGGGGCACCTGGGTGGCTCAGTCGGCTAGGCGGGTTAGGCATCTGACTTCGCTCAGGTCATGATCTCATGGTTCATGAGTTTGAGCTCCGTGTCAGGCTCTGTGCTGACAGCTGAGTCTGGAGCCTGCTTTGGGTTCTGTGTCTCCCTCTCTCTCTGCCCCTCCCCCGCTCATGCTCACTTGCGCAAGTGCTCGCTCTCTCTCTCACAAATAAACATTAAAAAAAAATTTTTAGGGGAGCCTGGGTGGCTCAGTCGGTTAAGCATCCGACTTCAGCTCAGGTCACGATCTCGCGGTCCGTGAGTTCGAGCCCCGCGTCGGGCTCTGGGCTGATGGCTCAGAGCCTGGAGCCTGCTTCAATATAAACATTAAAAAAAAATTTTTTTTTTAATTTTTTAAATAAAAGTGAAGCAAAACAAACAAAACAAAAAATTCCAAAGTGGATAAAATTAGTAAATTGGACTTACTGTTTAGCCTGGTTAACATGAACTCCTAGTGTATAGCTCAGCCATTTGTATGTCACCTACAAGAAGAAAATTTTTTTTAACATTTTATTAGATAACTCCAGAGTGCAGGTCAGTCCCAAGGGTTCCTAGAGATTCCTACTCTGATGATAATGCCTTATAAATTACAGTAGCTGCCACCCTAGTTTTGGCAAGAACGATCCATCTGGGCAGGTAGGACTGAGATATTTATCTTACAAATATTAAAAAATTTGTTTCACAGGCTAATTAATGCAAGAGTCTAAAAAGAAGGGCTGAATATACAAAGAAAAAGCTCTCATTTTCCTTACATTCTGTTTTACTAGTGCCCTTTATTCACATTCCATCCTTTTGTGTGGCCGCCACTGATAAATATCTAAAACTCATCCAGGAGCTAGATTACTTTGAAGTGTATACCATAAACTTCTAAGGAAAGTTGCAGCCATACAAACGTTAACAGGCACAGATGGTGTAGGGGTCAGGAATGAAAACAGTGGATGAATACTGTATCTGGGGTTAGACTGGAAACTACAGGCATTAAGCTTTGTTTTTCCTTCCACCCTTCCTTGAACTTCCCGTCATTTGTCACTTCCTTGTATGCTCCTCACCTCTCAAAGTCTTCAATTCTAAATGCTGAGTTTCCAATAATTAAGACATAGACGAAAGCAATAGCAAAAGAGACAGACGTAGGTTGGAAAACTGCCTATCCCTTACTAACTACCAAGAAGTTATTTGGCTCGTCTGCTTCAACTTCCTTTTTTTAGGGTTACTTCCACCGCCCTTTGGGTGGGTCCTGTAAAGATCAAATGCAGTCATGTATATCCCAAGCTCACAGTAGGCACTCAATTATCACGGTTTGCAAAGTCCATTCACATTCATCAGCTCACTTTATCTTTTACTCAAACCCTATGAAGTATTAATACTAAATTTCCTAGAGGAGGAAATCGACTGTTGAAAGGCTAAACAATTCGTCACCTAACCCAATTAAGGCACAATTTCCTCAACAGTAAACTTAGGACTTTAAACGCCAGCCACCTTATCAGACAGGTGAAGAAACGCCTTACAATTATTATCTACCAGTGCCCCTCCCTCCGCGCCTGTCCTCTAAGCCCCGGCTCCTAGCAAAGTCCCCAGCACGCCCACCCAAGGGACGCGGACTTGCGCGCGGCAGAGAAAGTCCCCCGCGAGTCCTCGCTCGCCCAGGGGCACGAGGCGAGGGGACTTGTCTCCCCTCCGCCGGTCCCCACCAGGCCACGCGCAGAGGGGTCAAGGCCCCCCGCAACCCTGGCCTGGCCCAAGACTCAATCGCATGCCCACATTCCCCAGTCCTAGCTCCTCACGATCTTGTTCTGGTCCGTGACGAACTCGTCTATATTTTCCAGATAAAGCTGGTCCGCCATGGTGCTGCGGCGCTGAGCCCCGCCGCCACAACCGCAGCTCCCGCCGGCGGGAAACGTCTTTCCACCCTCCCAGGTCCCGGGTCGTTTCCCACAGCAACGAATCCGACGCGCTACGGCGGCCGCCCGAGGGTCAAACTAGTCTCCGAGACGGCGCAGGCTCAAGTAGGCGGAGCTAGTAAGTTGGAGCAGGCGGAAGTGTAGAGCTAAGAGCGTGCGCGTGAGGTGGCCGGGCTGTTCTTGGAGCTGTGGTTTCAAATCTCCCATCTGCAGTTTAATGACTAACCAGGGCAAAATACCTCACCTCTGGGAATCACAGCCTTTCCACTTTGTAAATTGATAAAATAATCCTTGCCTTTTCATACCTTTACTCAACAGATACTTATCAAGTACCTATTCCAGGCACTTCTTAGGCACTGAGGACACAGGAGTGAATGATAAAGACAGAAACAAACCAGTAATTTTAGTAGAATGATGCCAGCTGGGATAAAGTACTGCTGATTATAATCCCTCAAAATTGAGAAATTAGAGATAGTTTTCAAGAAGGGATGGGAAGAGAAATGTTTCAGAAAGAGGCAGGAACATTTGCTGGGAAGAAAAAAAGAGTTTGTTGCAGCTGGAATGTTGGGAGAAGAGGGCAATGAGGAGAGATGAGACTTGGGAAAAGGCCAGTCATGCTGCACGTACAAGGCTATGTGAAGGGGCACATGAACTTGATTCTCAGGAAAAGGTTTCAGGTCGGGAGATTTCAACTAAAATTTCTCCTTACATCAGCTAAAGAACCCTTAATAACTGACTTCCACATAAGCCAGTGTAGTTCAAGAGGGCAGCATGGTGGAAAATGGAGCAAGCTCTAGAGTTAGACCCTGGATTTGAATCCTGGTGTTGATAATTGTCGTGTGACCCTAAGTAAGTTATTTAACCACTGCAAGCCTTTTACCCCATCTATAATATAGAAATAATAATAGCATCCTCTTCAAAGTTTTGTTGCAACAAGTACTGATTCAAGACATAGCAACAGCCTACTAAGGGCCAGGCACTGTTCTGGGTGCTGGGGTCAGCTGGGGTCAGCAATACACAGAGCCTGTTCACATGTAGCTTACATTCTCATAAAGATATGTGAGGGATGGCAAGGGCTTAAAATAGGATAGTGGGAAATTGAAAGAACTGAATGACTTGGGTTTTCTTTTTAGAGTCAGCAAAACCTGCTGATGAGTAGATGAATAGAGTGTGGGAAAGGTGGGAATGAAGGAAAGTACCTAGATTTGGAATCTAAATATTTAGGTAAATGGTGATGCCTTTGACTACTGGCTGTGGGAGACTGAGAGAAAGGGCAGATGAGAATATCAAAGAATATCAAAGAATTCTATTTAGTCACAGTTATAAACGAGAATATATATATACATATATATGTATGTATATATACATATATGTGTGTGTATATATATATATATATATGTATATATATATCCCTCACACCATACCTACACACAATAAAATCAATGAACAGTGGATTACATTACTATACACAATGAACAGTGGATTACATTACTATATACTTATATACTATGCCTGGTGTATAGTAATGAGAGTGAGATTTCACTTAATCCCCATAGCAACCCTGCAAATGAATTGTGTCTGTCCATATTTTATAGATTAGATTGCTGAGGTTTAAGAGAGGAGAGATGAATTTTCCAGGTCACAGTGTTGAGTAGTAGTACTAGGTTTGGAATTCAAGCTTCTTGTCATTGTTTCACAGGGATGGGAAGTAAGATGATTGACCAGAGTCTTGCCACTACCCCCACACCTAAGGGACCAGATGATAATATACCTGAAACAACATGGCCCTAGATATGTCAATGTTAAAAGGGTTGTGTGACTTTTAAAAGCCAGATTAGTAGTTAGCCTTGGGAGGCCTACCCAGTTTGAACATTCCTACCTCAGGGGTGAGGGACTGAATGGAATGCATGCGGGCTTTGGGGAAAAAATTTTTTTTTCTTTAAAGCAAGCAAACAAAATCCTGGGCTTGAATCCCAGCTTAACCACTTCCTAGCTGTGTGGACTTAGGCAAATCAACTTAACTTCTCTAGCCCTCAGTTTCCTGATCTTTAAAAGAAGGGGCAATAAACTGGTGTACTAATAAAATGTATAACAACCAAACTTAAAAAGCCCTGATTTGGGGCTCCTGAGTGACTGTGTCAGTTAAGCACGCAACTCTTAATTTCAGCTCAAGTCATGATTTCATGGTGGTGAGATTGAACTGTCCGTTGGGCTCTGCGCTGGGCATGCAACCTGCCTGAGATTCTCTCTCTCCTTCTGCCCCTCTCCCACTTGTGTGCACACATGCAGCCTCTCTCTCTCTCTCTCTCTCTCTCTCTCTCTCTCTCTCTCAAAAATAAATAAATAGCCCTGAGTTGAAAACTTATGTGGTGTGAATACTCCCATCATGGCAGATTTCTAGCTAGTGATATTGATGTCACTGAATGCAAAGTACGTGGAGACACACAAGATCATGAGATCACACCATTATTTCCTCAATACACATAGAATAAACAAATAACCTCAAGAGCATATATGGCAGTAAGGTAATTAGGAAGTGATGATATTCGAATATATATTGTCTTTGTTTTTACTATTATTTATTTAGTTGTAAATTTATATAATTTAATTTTTAGTAATGGCTCTTGTGAAAAGATAAAAAAAGGAAACTTAGTTTAGAATGGAGTTGGGAGGCCAGCAGGGGGAGCTCTCAAGCCCTACCACTCCTTGTCAATTGCAGACCCAACTGGGCAGGTTCTGTGCCTGGCGCGTTTAGCAATGTAAAATTAACTCATCTTCTTATTCTAGGCATCTGTAACATTCTCCCTATTTGAAATGTAACAGGCAAACCTCCAAAAAGGAAAAGTACCACCATTTCTACCTTAAATGCTGCTTCTTAAAAAAAAAAAAAAAAAAAATATTCAGTCCCTGTTCCTTATAGATGAAGCTTAATAAAAACGTCAAAAACAATAGCAGTTCTCCAGGAATCTGAACAACCAATCAACCAAAGTATTTCTAAACAAATGAGGCCAGACAAAACTTGGGGATGGCAGTGTCAGCTGATACCAGAAGTGGGAGCCATAGGATCAAGACTCTTCAGCCTTCATGTTTCAAAAGAGGTTGGTATTAGAAACAGAAGACTAATCCTTCTTTTTCCTCCTTTTCATCCCAGAAATGATTAACATCAGAGAGGCTAATGATTGTGACGAGGCATGGGATGGTGAATCTAGACTGGACTCCATCAATATCGGGAAGAGAATAAGGAGTGGTCAACCTATATGCAGGCAGGACCCCAGACTCAGAGTAGGGGAGGGACACCAGGCCTCTGACCAGGAAACAGGGCCTGTGGGAGCAGCTCAGGAGTCCCACCAGAGAACTGGGCTACAGGGCTCCTGAAGATTTCTGGGAGATAGCATTCCAGGCAGAAGAACAGGTCAGAACCAAGGAATACAAGATTAAGAGCTATAATTTAGGGGCCACATAACTGTCCAAGGGTTGTTCCAGATCCCAGGGACCCAGAACTTATTAATACCATGCTATTAGCATTAGATCATTCATACATTCATTCATCAAATATTACTCAAGGCCTCCTGTCTACCAGGCCCTGTGTGACTACTGGGAACAGAGCATGGTCTTCCTCTCCGAGAATTTAGTCTGTGGGGAGTAAATAGCAATACAATGTGGGGAAAGCACAGGGTGCCATGGGAACCTGGCAGAGGCAACTAACCCCGCCTGGAGCTCAGAAGAAATGTGGAGAAAACTGGATTTAGGTATCCAGGACTAGATAGCATGTAATCCTTCCTTTCACTTTAGGTGAAATGTATAGGAAATCAGAGTGCTGTCACGGTTATTAACACATACAACAAGCCAATATAATAAAAGGTATTTTATGAGAACATGTGTACCTTGTGCAGGCTGTCTTGTGGAATGTACAGCTATCAAGGCCAGGGCACATCAACCTTCTTGACAGCTGGTGAGGCAGGAGCCCAGGGAAGGGTAAAATAACATGCTGTTCTAACACACCTTATCAGTTCTATAAAAATCAATGTAAAACCCCTCTGTGACCAAAACAAAGTGGGTGAGCCAAGAGGGCAATCAGACACTGGTTCCCCTGTTTTATACCCACTGCCACCCCACCATACCCCCAACCCAAACTTACACCTCAGCCTGTTTATTTCTCAACTCAGTCACCAACAGTTTCACTTTGCTACCTTTGTTGCCTCAGTCACACAGAAAAAGAGCAGGAAGATCTCACCCCGGTCCCATCTTGCAATTACTTTGTATATTGTTTTCCTTTCTCAATCCCTTTGGGGGCTGGAAGGGTGCGTTGGAGGAGTGTGTGTCCCTATTTTCGCTGTTAGCATTTTTGTTGTAAGCATTTTAGCCACATAATTGGCCAAAAAGCAGTTTTTCCATAAAAGGTAAGATCACAAAAAAATAAAAGAGGGACACTCATTAAAAAGAACGTACTGAAGAATGAATAACAAAATTAAAAAGACACTATGGCAAAATACAAAGTATTTGAATGCATTCAAAATATATAGTATAGATTCA